GCTCCACACGTGATCGTACGGGGGAGATTTTTAGTTCCCAAATAACTAAACCATGAATCCTGCCTGCTAACTTTGTGTAGCATTCATAGCAGGAATACGTGCATCAGGAATTTTCCTTCTCCTAACCAGCCTTCTGTATGGAGAAACTACTCCGTGCTCTTCAGGGCTCCCTTCCCGCCACCCTGGGCTCCGCAGAGCATCCCAACTGGCCGAAGGGTCAGGGGTGAGCTGGGTTTCTCACTCCAGGGGCATCCAACATGTTCTCCCTGGGATGCTGGGGGCTGTTTCACGCTGACCCTGATCGTTCAAGGGCAAATACATTAAGTTGGGTTTGAGAATCATTTGGTTCTTTTTTCTACCTCTGTTTTCTCGTGTTATATATCAGATGAAGTGCACGTAAAACAGGTTTTATTTTTAGTTCTCAGCCCATTCCTTGCAGGCTGTTTCAAAGGTGTCGGTCGTGCCTGTCCCTGCTCGGCTGGCTCACACGGTGGCTCCTGCTTTACTTGGAGCTCTGCCCTGGGGGAAAGCCGGACTCCGCAACGCAGCCCTGTGGCCCAAATGTGACTGCCAGAAAGCCACAGCTTCCAACAGGATGCTGCATGATGGCTCTGCTCTTTGCCATCACCCGAACCGAACCTCCTCTTTCTCCTAACTTTTCAAGCCCCAGCACCAGCAGGGCCGTGAGTCTGCCGGTGGCTGAGCGAGTGGTTCCCCTGGAGCTCACCTCTGTTTCACGGTGATGTCTCGTGTCTGCCTCCCAGGCTGCACCCCTTCATCTTCATCAGGTTGCCCAGAGAAGCTGTGGATGCCCCATCCCTGGAAGAGTCCACGGCCAGGCTGGATGAGGCTTTGAGCAACCTGGTCTAGTGGAAGGTGTCCCTGCCCATGGCAGGGCGGTTGGAACTAGATGATCTTCAAGGTCCCTTCCAGCCCAAACCACTCCATGATTCTATGATTCTATGATCTTGTCCTCCCTGGGGAGTCTCTGCGTGGGCCGGGAGCTGTGGACACCCCAATTTACTGTATGTCACTGTGCTTTGCTCCCACTAGGTTCTGTCTTCAGACCCACCTCGTTCCCTGAAGAGGAGCAAGGACAGAGCAGTGATGCTGCACGTTCTCAGCTGCTGCCGCTGCTCCGAGGGGGCCGAGGGGGCTGATTCAGCTGCAGCCTCCCCGCAGGTACCTGCTGGTCCCTCTGCGATGAGTTCGCCGCGTGAGTCAGCCATGGCATCCTCTTGATGTTTCCTCCGAGGCACGTGGAGTAACCAGAGCTCCGGCTTCTCGCTGGCACGGGATGGTGACAGCTGCAGCCTAGCTGACAGTTCCTGGAAAGGACAAGGAGATCTGAAACCCTATAGCTCTGCTCAACCCCCTGGACCTCAAATTCCTCTGTCACAGGGCTCTGCCCAGCTTCCCAGGCCCCAAGTGATCCCTCCCATCTGAGCAGAGGCTCAGCATGCCAGCAGAGGTTTCTTACCCACCTTTGGGACATTTATTGTGTCATGAGGCACTGCAGTCCTTGGAGGGAGGTTTCAGCCTGACATCACGTGGCTCATGCTGGTGTGTCGGTTCCCCCGTATCCTCACATCTTCCTCCTAGCTTTTGGGATGGATGTGGGTTTATACAGAGGCTACCTAAGCATCAAGAGGCCTGATGGTGACACGTGTCCTCCCCTTCAGCGGGGCCGTCTTCCTTGCTAACAAGATGACAAGGAGTAGCCCGACGTTGCTGCTGACCGGGGCATCCCAAGGTAAGGATGACAGAAGTGAGCTGGAGCAGCAGGGCAGTGCGAAATGAGGCTGGAGTCATCTCCCTGGTGAGCTCCAGAATTTCAGCAAGGGTCCATCCTAACTCTGGACTTTGGAGACTCCCTTGGGGTGGCAGCAGATCCTGTGGGCTGTTGTAGGGGCTGTTAACCTGCTAGGTTAAACAGCGTGGGACAGGGATGGGGTTCATCTGCCACAGCAGACGCTGTGCATGCCTCTCCCAAGTGGAATCCCTGGCCAGCTGCCTCCTGCAGGATCTGTCCTTTGCACTGTCGGATAGTGCCAAGGGCTTATGTCAAACCCAGTTCTCGAGCAGAAACACACTCCAGGTGCTGAGTCCTCTGGCAGGTCAGGGCAGCACCCAGGAAACAGCTGCCTGCAAACGGGAGCAACAGGAGAATAATTAGATGCTTGTAGGAACTAAGTAAAACCTTTGCTCTCAAGAGGGTTTCCTGTTTGTGGAGGAAACCCCTTGGGTCCAGAATGGGAGCAGTGAGTCCGAGCAAACCCTTCCTGGGCATGGGAAGCCCACGTAACATTGTCCGCTCTTCTTCTGTGATGAGAGTGACCTCCCGGGGGACAGATTCCATCCCTGGGTTGCACAAGACCCTGCACCGAAGGATGTCTTGCCCACACGCACTGCTTTGGTCTGCTGGTGCCTCTGTCTAGCAGATGGTCCATGCATTTTGGGCACAGTCTTTGCCCTGCAACTCTGGGAAGTCTCTTCCCTTCTTCTGCAGGAAACTTTCAGCTGTAAATATTAAAGAAACTGGGTGCAGTTTGTCAAGAGGAGTCGCAGGTTGCCCAGAGCCGAGCGCGAGCACCAGGATGGTGCTAAAGCCACCATGCCAGGTCCTCTGCCCACCCCAGGTGTGGAGCCACCACGCAGCGCCTGTTCCCTCTGCCGAGCACAGGGACAGGGCAGAAATGTGTCTGGAGATAACGTAGGCGCTGGGTCCCGTCAGCTGCCGAGCTATGTCCATCTATAGCCTGCTCTCCAGTTACCAGCCACCCCCTCCAGCTGCCTCCAAAGATAGGCAAAGCCACCTCCCTCCCAGTGCCTGGGCTGGAAAGTGGGGGAAGCAGAGGAGGGATAACAGCCAGGGATGAGACCGATGGGATTTTTGTGGAAGGAGTGAAGGACGCCGCGAGTGCGCCTGAGCTATGGCGTCGCTGTGCTACAATAAGGGCTGCGGGCAGAGGTTTGATCCTGAGCACAACGTTGAGGGTAAGTGGGCTCCTCTGTCTCACGCCGGGGTGAGCAGGAGCCGCTTGCCCAGGCTGTGGCC